ACACACAAGTGATATATATTATTTAACTTTAGATGAATATAGCAGCTTATTTAGTGACACTCTGTGAAAAGTTAATATGTTTAATTTCAACCCCTACTTTATACCGAATGGCATTTTACATTATCACAAATCTATTCTAAATGTCAGTAGGTGGATGGTAATAAAAACAAGTACAATGGAACATCTCATAAAAATATATACTAATTAAAAAAGATAATAACATCTTCTGTTTACATTAAATTTCAGTTCTTAACAAATCACAATAAGCAGAGGGGCTCGACTGGTTCTTATTTATTTTTCTTATATGAGAGATGAAACGGGTCAAAGACTGAATAAATGGATGTCTCCACCGAATGATGGTACATTTAAGAGTTCCGTTATATTTTCAAGGCACGGAACCCTGAAATATAAAAATTAGGGCAACGAAGCGAAAGTCTGGACATCTAGCAGTGCTCGTTCGCGCCTTGTTGATTAATCAAGCAACATCAAAGTTGCGGCACATGCCGACCCAGCCGACCAGTTAATTCACAAAAAACATAGTATACTTAAGTACCTATCCAGCGTATTAGAGCCGAGAACAGAGTTATTTAGTTACCTACTTTTTTTATATGACTTCCGTAGGCGAGTGGTTCGCACGCCGATTTCAAGATGTCGCCATCTCTGGGGTCACAAGTTCGATTCCCGGTCGGATGAATGTAGAAATTTGACTTTTCTATATTGTCTCAATTTTATGTGTCGTGGTGCCATTGTTTCAGATACTCCAAAATTAGAGTGCTGTGCGTTGCTCATCTTAGAATCTGAGCGATGTGTGTGATGTTGTTTAATATTTATTTATATTTAGGTAGGTATACTTATCCATACGACTATAATATTGTAAAGAGGCAAAGTTACTAACTTTGTTTGTTTTGTTGGTGGTAAACTTCGGAAATACCGATCAGATCATGAACATTCTTACACCAACGGAAGGTACATCATACGCGTTTGCCATAATTAATACGGAGGAAGTCACTGGAAATCAGCTAATATTATTTATTTAAAGAGCATGCCGCACAATTGGTTGGGATATAATAAATATACATATTAAATTCATAACCAAAATTTACATTTGATTATACCTACAATGTCAATTGTTTTTATCGTTAACTTGCATTTATTTTTCCAATATTTTTAAAAATTATGGCCTTGTTCTGTTATACACAGAAATTCTGCCAACATATTTATATGATAAAACCTCTTGCAGGTTTTGTCAAATAACAACTGTATACTTTGTGACATGCACTTAATAAAGAATATATATTTAGAAAAAGAGTAACAAGAAAATACTACGAAGTTGACTGACTTCTTAATCAAACAAAATGTAGGTCAAGTTTAATCTACTTTAGTTCTATTGGGCTAGAGCGCATCAAACGGTTTGATGGATATTGTTCAGGTCAATAAGGGCGAAACGCCAACGAATGTCGCCGAGGTGAAGGTTGCACCGCCAGGTTATTGGTTCGTTATAATCGATTAGAGCCTAAACAACAGTCAGACAGCCTGAGGACCGTCACTCTGAGCAGCCACTTACACGCGTACCAGGGTGCCCACTCGACTATCACCTACAGCCTTCATACATAACTAAAATGAAAACTATTGGGATTCTCGTCCTTTTTTAAAAATGAAGAAGCCATTTTTGATTCTATAAATTTATGTCGTACCTGTAGGTAATAGATTTAGTACATATATTTATTAGAAAGTCATAGGTAGGCTAATATTCAATGAAAGAATTAAGTAAAATAAAAAAAATTAACGGACTAACACAGATAACATTAAATATGGATAAATACTAATCAAAATATAGTATAAAAGCATAGAAGTATTGTGTATGCCTTGTGATGCCAACACTGGCTTCAGCTCAGTACAAGCAGCAGGCAGGACCCGCTGCAATGATATTCTGCTGAGACAGCCATGACGTTACGGAGCATAAATATTTTAAATAAAAATATCCGTTTTGGAATAAACTACACACAGTAATTTAACAATAATAATAAATTAATAACAATGAACGATTTCTGTTAAGATTACAAACTATCGCCTGATATTCATGGAATTGTTTGCAAACTGGCAACCCGAATACATGAGTTTGTTAAAAGGGCAAAGGCTTTTATAGAAATAGGGCAGCCGGTGGGTGGGTACGCATGCGCTACGTGGGCGCATGCGCGTGACAGGCGTCGATGGGCGATCACCGCTGACATCACGCGGGGCTGCATGATGAGCCCCTCATCATCAGGTACGTCAGCCGAAGCCCGCCGGCCCATCCGCCACACCAGCTCGGGCGAGGATGAGCTCGCAGGGCAACCCTCGACAGTTCGTCGACCCTGAGGTGTCTCTCTCCGGTGCGACAGCATCGAGGACCAGCCTACCAGTGACGTGAATGTGTGCTGTTGAATGTGTAAAGTGATATAAGCTCAGTGATACTCACTTATGCAACTGAAATTACAAATTGGAATCAATGAACTATATGATCTATAGACGTGTTATTTATTGACGTCTGCGATCACTCGATACTACTTGTGCTGGAGAGAAATAATCTGTAGTTTAACTAACTTAGGTAGGTCGATTAATTTTCTGCTTAATTTACAAATCTCGTTATCGTACCAATTCACCCTTCAATGTTGAAAAAACTTTTGGGAGTAGATTTAGTGCATAGTTTAATAAGAACATTATATTGACCCCAAATTAAAATTAACCTAATAAAGCGCTGATTTGAGTGCACACTCTCGAAAACCTCGAAATTATAAAGTAATAGGTCACGCTATTTGCTGAAATCCGCAACAGATAGCGAACCAAAATAAGAGAGGTGTTATAATGATTTGTCACTACCCTTATCGGCGGTATCATTTCATCGCTGAAATGTCTAATCTCTGAGTCTCGAGAAAAATATGCTAAAAAGTTAGGATTTTAAAATTGTTGACTTTGGAAAGTTGTTGATGAAAATTACCTATATCCAAAAATATTACAAAAATATAAATCACCTTAACGCTATTCTTCTCAGCTAGAAAAAAAGGTTCAGTAAATTCCTTTTTTTGAACAACTTGTATCAACAAATCAATGTATTTCTGGTCCAGTCATAGTACGACAACTGCACTTGTAAAGATCGCGGATGACATTCGTATAGGCATGGAGGGACGGCAGCTCACGGTGTTAACACTATTAGATTTCAGTAACGCGTTTAATACTGTTGACTTTGAAATTCTATTAGCTATGTTGGTTTCTCTCAATGTTTCTCCTCAGGTGGTTGATCGGTATCGTAGTTATCTGTACTGACGACAACAGTGCATAAGTGTGGGAGACGGTCTTTCACATTGGTGCGATACAACAGCCGGAGTTCCGCGTTTTATCTCCTCTCCTATTCTCTCCCTTTTCTTCATATCACATGTATGCAGATGATTTACAAAAGTTACATTCAAGCTTCTATAGATTAACTACCTACAGCAGTTACTACCATCAATAATGATCTGGAACATATTTCAGATTGGAATTGACGGCACGGCTTGTTAGTGAATCCTCACAAAACACAGGCAATTATCAGCGGAAGTTATTGGCATCAAGCTAGGTTATATAATGGAACTATACCACCGTTATTGTTAAATGGTCCCTTCTTCTGCCTCTGCTTGATTATACGACCTAAGTGTCGTTTTCCTAAATAAATTTGAGTTTCTCCAGAACTTATGTATTCGTTTTATCTTCAGTCTACGTAAATACGATCATATCTTCAACTAACGGTAACTCAAATTGACTGGCTACCATTTCTCGTAGAAGAGACTGATTATCATTTCTTTATTCTATAGAAAGAGCCCTTCTTTATTCTATTCTCTTCCACACACTTCTCTTTATTTTAAAGAGCGCTTCGTCTTTTCTTCCTCTAATCCTATCTGAGATGTATGGTTTTCAATTTCAATTTCAATTTATTCAATGCAAGTCACAGGTCATACAGATGTTATAAATTGATTTTGTAGCGAAGTCATTTTTCGTCAGAGCTATTATATTGTGGAACTCTTTTCTTGTGGTTATTAGACATGCGTAGTCTCGGGACTCTTTCGTCAACCAGGTTAAGGACTATTTATTAAATTCCGACACACGAGTGGCTGCCTTTTCAGTTTCATATTAATAGTAATATATCCTTTTGTTTTTCTTGCATAGTCACTAAATAAATAATTTTCTTTCTTTATTTCTAATGCACTAACCCGCAATATTTGTCCTTAGTTGGTATAGTTTCTATTAGTCAAGGGTTGCCTGTAAGAAATTGCTACCTTGTCAATAACACTGCCTTCTGCATGTTTATTTTTTTGTTTTATGTCTTTGTTTATAGTGCAAAAAATATATTAAATCAATCAATTCAATCAATGTTGATAAAACTAGCTATTCCGTGTGAGGAACACCATTTTTGAAATTACTCCGATTTAATATATTTGTAGAAAAGAGGTCCTATGAGTGCTTTATAACAGTACGAGCGCTAGCTGTTTTCCCGTGACTTTGATTATAGCGTATGTCACTCTTGCGTATACGATGTAGCTTCAATGTAAAGTGTTAGCTACAGATCTAAAATAGGAGGATGTGTGTACCTACTACGTCATCGAAAAAATTTTGATCAGAAAGTACCAGGATCGTGGCGATGCCGCGAACGCTTTTCTCAGCGACCACCCGCTATATCTACTATTATTATACAGACATAATACATTTATCATCACGGTAAACAATTCGATTAACAATCGTCTCATTTGTTTGACGATTCGACACAGATTACTTAATGTTAAGTGTAAATTAGTTAAATAAATAAATTATTTTTATTTTCTAGATAGTCATTGTCTTTCATAGGATATGCCGCAATATACATAGGTCGCTATTAAAAATGCTGTGGGTGGAATATGTATAATAATACACATGACGTGCGGTAGAGGGAGGGCGGTGCGGGCGCGTGATGGCGTGGTGGCGGCGGCGGCGGCAGTAGCGTGCGCCCGCGCATGGCGGAGGCGGCAGCGGCGCCCGCGCGGCAGCCGCGACGCGGACCCGCGCCCATCGCCTCCTTCGACCACGACGTCTCCGACGAGGTGAGGCTGCCAGTATGTATCCTGTTTCTTCTCACCTTTATCTTCATTTCTTTTTCTCTACTGATACGAGAGCCGAAAGATGTCTATTTCGGAACTTCATCTTTCCATTTATTTTTGAGATGACCGGCGATCTAGAAACGAAGACTCCTAATAGCATATTTATGTGGGAAAAATAAAGGCGTTCGTGGCTTGAAATCACGTATATTTCTTCGTTTACAATATTTTTCTATACACCGGTAATGTCCTTGCGTTCGTCCTCAGTCTTTCGTCCTCCATTTATATATTCCTTCTCGCTCACCTCATACCCCTTCTCTTTCACACATTCATACGTTCCTTTCCACACATTTCAATCATCCTACATTTATAATAGAAGACTTCGTCTAATGAGTAGGAAAACATCCAGACAAAGCTAAAAAACGAGTCTCCTGCATCGAGTTTCATTTCTGGAAACGAATATTAGGTGATAATGGCAAAAACGGACAGTATACGGTCACGTAGTGGTTCGTTTTCGTAACATTCCAGTCGAGCCCGGAGACGAAGCCGACGGTTCGCCTGCCGGAGATCCGCGAGGACTCGAGCGCGACCGCGGCGACGAGCGGCGACGCCCTCGCGCCCCCGGAGCAGCGCGCGCGGTCCCACTCCACGCCCGGCGCGCTGCAGGCGCCGCCCGCGCCGCGCATCGACATCTCGCGCGCCTCCAGCTCCAGCCACCAGGACTCCCGGGACAGCTCCCCGGAACTGGCGCTGTTCGCGGGCTCCACGCCCGGCGCCGGCGAGCTCGGCTTCCGCGAGGACGGCGCCCTCGACCTGCGCTCGTCCACCGAGGAGCTCGCCTTCCTCGAGCCCGCGCCCGGCGAGCGCGCCGCCCCCGCGCCGCCGGAGCGCCGGCCCTCGCGCAAGGACAGTCAGGGCTCCGAGGCGGCGCTGCTGGCCGTGTCGGGCCGCACGAGCCGCCTATCGAGCGTAGGCTCCCAGTGTTCCGCGCACTCCGCGCTGTCCGCGTTCAGCCGCACCGGCCGCGTGTCCCGGCTCTCGGTCGCGTCGGGCGCGTCGCGATCGCCCTCCCCGCACAGGATGCTGCTCGAGACTTCCTTCTGCGGGCCGAAGCCCATCGAGACCGACCCGGAGATCTGCGCCGCGGCCGTCGAGGAGAGACTGCTCGAGATCGCAAAACTCGGCACGGAGGGTCAGCCGCCGCCGGCGCTCGCGCCCGCGCCCGCACCGGCTCCGGCGCCGACGCCGGCGTTCGTTCCGGTGCCGCTCGACGCGCGCGACCGTCGCGAGGTGCGCACCGAAGCTACCGTCGAACGCGCGACTCCGCGCCCGACACATTGCAAGTCGCTAGCTGCCGACGGATGTTCGGCTCCCGGCGAATCGACCTCGGCGCCGGCGGGACCCCGCTCGGCGTGCGAACCGGCTCCTCCGCCGGTCGACCGGGAAAAGAACCAAAAAGAAAAGAGGAACAGAGCGCGAGCCGAGGAGCGGCAGGCGAGATCCCGGGAGCGCCGCGACCCGATCGAACGCAGGGCGAAGAGTCAGACGAAGGACATCATTCGAATAAGGCTGAAGCCGAGCGACGAGTACGACGACGACGACGTCGACGACGAGGACGACGATCGGGCGTCGAGCGCGGGGCCCGCGCCCGCGCCGGCCGCTTTCGACTTCGGCGGGGCCGGGGGGCGTCCGGTGCGCCCGACCGATCTGGCCTCGGAGGCTCCGGCCTCGCGCCGCCCGCCTCGCGACTGTCGGACGCCTTCGCCGCCGGGCGCGGGCGTCTCGCGGAAATCTTCGTTCTGTTCCCTGTTTAAATCTCGCGAGACGATCGCGTCCCCCGAATCGCCGTCCGACGCGCTCCGCCGCAAGAAGAGCTCGGCCGACGGCCGCTCGAGGAGTCGAAGCCGCGACCGCTCCGCGACGCCGACTTCCGCCACGAAGATCCGCGGCTCCGTGCTGTCCCTGTTCCGGACGCCGCGGAAGAGCGCCACCTCCCCGTCGCCGAGCTCCCGCGACGGCTCGCCGGTGGTGCAGCAGGCGCGCCAGCTCGCGCCGCAGCAGGATCGCCCGCGCCGAGGCGAGCGACTCAAGTACTACGAGGACGGGGGCATCATCCACATTCCGCTGCGGACGCCGCCCGAGGAGGCCGGCGCGACGCGACCGAGCGACGTCGAGCGGAGACCGAGCGCCCCGGAGCCGCGCACGCGGGAGCTCGAGGTGCGCCCGGCCTCCGCCCCCCAGCCGCGCGCCCCCGCCCTCCCTTCGATGTCGACGCCGAGCCCGGCTCCGCCGGCGACGAAACCGATCCGTCGGACCGTTTTGCCCGACGGAAGCATCATCATTCCGCTTCGGTCGCCGACCGAGAAGACCGCCCCGGAGGACGTCCTCGCGCCGGGCGACCCGCCCGCCGAGTCTCCGGAGGCGAACAGATCGATCGAATCCGCTCCCCGGACGAGTTCCGCCGCCGCGACGACGAGCATCGAGCGGACGACGAGTTCGGAAACGTCGCCGGTGCCGAGCGAGCGGCCGCCCGGGGCGTCGGTCGCCGCGGACCCTCCGCCGGATGTCGCCCCGGAGCGGGCTCGACGCCGCGAGCGTCTCGTGTTCACGACCAACGTCGGCAGCGAAGAACAGAAATTCAGCACCCAGTTCAGCATTACGAAAACGCCGAGCGTCACGAGCGAGATATCCGGGTCGTTTCCGAGCTTTCCCGACACAGAGGAGACGCGGGACGCGCGCGGGTCGACTCCCGCGAGCACCGGGGACGGCGGGGACCGGCCCGAGAGGGAGGCGGGGGAGGCGGGGGAGGCGGGGGAGGTGCGGGCGGGATCGAGCCGCGCGAGCCCGCAGGAGGCGCGGGACTCGTCGGGCTCGGAGGCGAGCTCGGAGGCGGGCGTGGCGCGCGCGGGCAGCGACGTGGAGGCGCGCGGGCTGGTGGTGCAGGAGTCGTTCGAGGAGGAGCTGCCGTACGTGCCGACCACGCTGCCGCAGGAGCGCTCGCTGGCGCTGCCGATGGTGCCGGTGCGGGAACGCGGCGCCGCCACCCTGCACGTGGCACCCGTCGAGCGGCCCCGCCCCCCTCACGCGTCTCGACCTTCCTTGCCGTCCGTCCCGCAGGTATGCATCTTCCGTCGTCGGAGACGGATGTTTAAAATTCGATTCGCAAGCAATCTATTTTTTAGTATCTGTCTTTATAATCTAATAGTATGACGTTTCTGTGACGTGTCATGATTTGATCGTCGACCGTGGTGGGCAGGCGTCTCGCGGGGCTCGGACGGTGGTGACGTCGTCGTCGGGACCGGCCGTTAACGCCGACGCTGACAAGCTCCGCATCAAGCTGCCGCGACGCCCTCGCACCGGTTCCGCGGGAGCGCCCGTGCGACCGGAACGCACCAGGACTCGCAGCGGAAGCGAAGGTTAGTTTCGCGAACTACCGTTACGAGTGCAAAATCCCATGTTCCGAGCGATATTTTTTTTTAAATTAAAACCGGATCAATTGTGAAACATCGTTGACCACCGACTAGCCGACATCATAAACGACGACGTTCGTTGTACAGGTTTTGATAATACATTACATTTTCATACATATTCAATTATAAATAAAATTTTATTCAATTTGAAGCTCGAATGATCATAGACGTAATAAAATGTCACAACGATGCAGGAACAACTTTATCCATCTCTTTGTATGGTATCCCATCATAGCCTCAGTAAAAGTCATCTACACATTGCTTTAATATAATTTATTTATTTATTTATTTACTCTCTTGGATGACCAACAGCTAACAATACAAATTAAAATTTCATTCCAAAAACAGATAGCCAATTACAGGTCTTCGCTTATAGATTTGGCATAAAAGTAAAATATATATATACATATATCGCTTACACTTACAATAATATTACAATAAGTACGCTGCTTACGGAGTGATATATTAATAATAAATACATATATAAAAGTATAATGACACATATACCCATATTCCAAGAAATATTAGTTATTTAAAAAGAATAAGTTACCAACACGCTTAATCGACGCCTCGCTAGTGTTAAAAAGGTCAACTTTTACTCGCTTTGATAGTTCGTTGAATCCATTACACGCTCGCCAAATGAATGAATTCTGCCGAAAGTTTGAAGACGAAGGGGGTAGATGTAACAAGGGATTAAACCTGAGTTGTTTTTGTGGGGCTCTAAAAGTAATCTTTGACAAGAGTTCAGAACAATCACAACACCACTAGCAATTTTTGCAAGAAAAACCAAATCTGTAATTTCTCGCCGATTCACTAAAGGGAGACAGTGATGCATTCTACAAAGTTCCTCGTAGCGGCCTCAGCCATAGCGATGTTTGGTGCGGAAGCAGAGGTACTTAATGAATCTCATTTGAATTTTCTCGATCCGCGATATATACGTCTGGTATCCAGGGTTCCAGATCTGCGATGCGTACTCCAAGTGACTTCGGATGAATGTGCAATAAAGAATTTTTAGTGTCTCAGTCTGTGTGAAGTCTTTGGAGTTACGCATAACAAATCCAAGAGCTCTGGAGGCCTTTGAAATGATGTTATCGATATGGGCATCGAAAAGCAACTTATGGTCATGAAACACGCCAAGATCTCTCACAACCGTATCTCGTTTCAACCTTGAATTTCTCACCACATAATCAAACAAAAACAGATTCCGCTTCCGACTATACGTGACAACATTACATTTGGCTGCATTTAAGTCTAAATAATTACTTGAACAGTAGTTATCAAGTCTCACAAGATCATCTTGCAGTGAAAGCGCGTCCTCTAACGACGAAATAGGCGCAAATATTTTCATATCATCCGCAAAACATAATAGTTGTGAAAATTGAAAACACCTCGCAATATCATTTACAAACACATCAAACAGGAGTGGTGCAAGTAGGCAGCCCTGAGGAACTCCACTGGGAACCGTAAGCCAACCAGAAATATTTTTTTTTACCACAACCGCCTGTGAGCGATTATTAATGTATGATGACAACCATCGCAACAAATCGCCACCCACACCAATCATTAACAGTTTGTGTAAAAGCATGTCATGCTGAATTCGGTCGAATGCCTTACTGTAATCAGTGTAGATTACGTCGACCTGAAAGCCATTATCTATTGCAATAGTAAGGGACTCATTGAGCAAGACCAAATTAGACACAACAGAGCGGCCTCTAAGGAAACCATGTTGTGTTGGGCTAAACGATTGCTTCAATGCAGAATAAAGCTGCTCGTAAATAACTTTTTCCAGTACCTTGGATACAATACAGAGCTTAGAGATGGGACGGTAGTTAGTAATATCTGATCTAGATCCTTTTTTATGCACTGGTGTAATATATGCTTGCTTCCATACACTTGGAACAATGCCCTCCGTCAAAGATCTATTGAAAAGAATAGCAATTGGAATAGCAATGGTTTTAGCGCAATTTATGAGGAAGATAGCTAGCAATAAATCTGGTCCAGCAGACTTTGCCGGATCTAACTTCGAAAGCAGTCTGGTCAGTTCGTCAATGTTAATCATAATTTTATTAATATTTGTAACAGTAGTAGGAAGAGAAGAGGCCAAACTTAAATTGTTTAGAGAAGTTGGAGACTGCAAAAAGTTATAATAGAAAAACTCAGAAAAAGCGTTGCATATCGATTGTCCAGTATTAAGTACAGTATCACCGTAGTTCAAGTTATTGGGTCATTAATATTAGTCTTGGATTTAATAAACGACCAAAAAGTTTTTGGATTATCCTTTAGCGAATTTTCAACTGTGTTTATATATGTACTCACTATAGCACAGTTTTTCTTATGTTTTACATCGATCCCTTAGTATTTTATAACATTGTTCATCCGTACGGTTACCATATATTTTGAATTTCTTCAAGTATTTGTACTTTTCCCTAATAGACCTTTTCAAAGCCGGCGAGTACCATTTGGGGTATTTGTTAGTAGTAATAGTTTGGCGAGGTATATATTGGTCTCTTAATGTAACAAATTTATTGTAGAAATACTCTACTGCTGCTTCGAGGGGTTTAGATATTAATTCATGATGCCAGTCTATTTTGGTAATTTCTGAGTTGATTGCATTATAATCGCCTTTATTAAAAAGATACTTAGTGCGAGGTGCATCATTTAAGGGTACAAAATTCGCAAAATCTAAATCGAAGGACAAAGCTCCATGGTGTATATCGATCGGCACAAGCGGATCGTCACTGCAATCCGTTACCAGGACATTTCATTAGACAATATAAGGTCTAGAGTCTATAAGGTATAATCGGTAGGTAGATATATTATTTTTTTAATACAAAAATGTTACACCTCAGGCTTCGAGACTCGTTCGAAGACGGAGTGGATCGACTTCTCGGAGGTGCCAGAGCGTCGCAAGCAGCCTACCCGGATCCAGACGCTGCCGGCGTCACGTGACGTGGTGTTCAACTACGTGGCGCCCGAGGAGTGCCGCTGCGAGTGTCACGCGAGGGACACAGACGCGGAACACAACGGGCCAGGGTACTACCACCTTTACTTTAACGCTGGGGAAGTGCATTGACAAACACACCTCTTATCGGGGCTCTCCACCCACTAGGATATGACAGTTGTGGCGATATATTTTCGTTTCATTTTGCTACTTTGACTTATTTTAATGATTCAAAATCAGCATTATATAGCGAGGTAGGCGCTGAGCGGCCGAATGGAGTTCTAAGTTTTCTCTCTTCTCTTGGGAGAAACTTCGCTTTATATAAATTCCACTTTTATATTCTTGTTCGGAAGCACCAGTAGACACATGCGAATATTATACAATTCCACCATTGCACCTTTGGATCACCTACAATAGACATTGTCGGATAAATATAATCGGTATCGGTAACTTTGCAAACGCAACAGAAAAATAATCCTTGGCTTTCAGAATTGTTATTCTCTGTGTGTACAAAATTAATCTGTGACTTGAGTTTTATTTGTCGGTTTATATAATACTTAAAAATACGAGTTTAGGCATGAACGTGGCTTATTTTATTTGTTTTATTTTTTAACACTAACTTGAAGAAAAAATTGATCAGACCATAGCGAGGTTCCCAAATGCACGGGGCCTCCAAACGCGCGGGGCCCGTACATAGCATTTGCTCTTTTGCTACGTGGTCCCTGGTCGGTCATTTTTTAATCTCATCCATTATTTAGTCAGATATAACAAGAAAAAAAAAACACTTTTACGTTTGAAACAAAAATAAATTACGCAGGAAAACTGTAACAAAGTATACAGTGTTTTACGTAAACTAACTCATCTCTAGTAAAGTACAGTGTTTTCAACTGCCGTATTCAGTTCACGCGATGATGCTGACCAAACCAGCGTAAGTTGAACTGATAACAATATCATTGTCTCGCTTTTTCCTGAGTCATTATCGGCTCTTGTTTATTGTAGTTATCGTTGGAGATAGTTTGAATAACACTAGTCGCGTGCCGCGTCAGACTGCAGAATTGCACATGCCGCTTTTATTTGTTCGACTAAGTGATTGCGTGTTTTCTGTTGATTTTTACACCGATGCTATCTTTCAAATGAACTCTCAATCCGAGCGGAGTAACGCTCGCACACCGAATTCAGAATTTCAGTGTAGGTAATGAAGGCATATTTCGACTGCGTTTAACCTAGTTACATGTTTTTACTAACATATCCAACTCTCGCTACCATACATGCCCCCATGCGTTAGGGTCAGCACCACATTGTATAACGAGCTGCGCTTTCTGGCTTAAGGTTTTGCTGCCAAGATGTTCATTCATTCACACACCTACTCTCCAATCTATGTCGGCGGTGTACCTTCCATCCCTGCTAAAAGGACATCCAAGATATACAAAGTCATTCACTTGTTCCAGTACTAAATCATGTATCGTTTCTTTCAAATAAAAATATCTTTGACTTCTTTGCATTCAATTGTAAGCTTATCATCATACAATCATCGTTCATCACTGTAACTAGAGTTTGCAGATTAGTTTGATTTTCTTCAAGTACTACGGCGTCATCTGCATACCGCAGGCAGTTCACAAATAGATCACCTATTTGCAATCCTACATTCATAGATCTGATTATTTGAAGACAACTGTCGAGATATACTATAAACAGCCTTGCTGATAACACACAACCCTGCCTGACGCCAAACCAGGGTGACATGTTGCCTTCTACTAGCGCACAAGCTGTACGGTCCTCATAAGTGGACTTATCGATTGTACGCCCCAGAGGTCTTTTCGTTCTACACTGTTGTATGCTTTGTTTTCACAAAACCACAAAGATTCCGATCAAAGGCGAGATATCTCTCTATAATATTGCGGAGCGAAAAACTTTGTCATGACAATACTTTTTGACCGCTATATCATTTTCCATGCTAAACTTATCTTAAAACTCTTAAAAGGCGATATACTTGAGATGTACATCTAAATATTAAATACATAAAATTATATAATTAAGTGAATTATCTTAAAGATAATTAAACAAAATATATTTTGTCTAATATCTCCAAACTGGCTTAGTTACAGTGAGATGGCTTGGCAGGGCAGCGGCCGGCAATATTATTTTCATTCGTAACCTGAATAATATATAGGACAAACAACTGGTTGTAATCGTTTATATTTATTATTGTAGGGAGACATGTGACGAGCACGCTCCAGGCAGCTAGCTCCCACCGGCTACACGCGGCTCTACTCAAGGCAAGTAAATAATACTTACTTACACACAGTGCCCGTAACGCCCTTACCGAGTAGTAAACTATCTTAGTTAGGGTCAGGAGGGGTACAGTGTTACAAAAAAAAAAAATTATAATATAGTGACGAAAATATTATTTTAATCAGTCTGTTTTTTGCATTCAAATAAACTTTAATAATCCCTCTTTAATTAAAATAACTCAAACAGTAACATCAGTAGGAACTACTTAATTAAAATTGCACTTGAAAAAAATCAGTTGATTGTAACACATAGCCCCGTATCTGGGGTACTCTGTTACAAGGTAAGGGGCACAATGTTACAACATATAAATAATAGAAAAAGTAACAATACCGGGACAAGACAAGACGGGTTGTCTTTTGTAGACGCTGTTACTTTCACGAAATGTTGCAAGACTTCAGGAAACAATTCGCTATTCATCCATCCGGTGGGTTGAGCTAGCCTTAGGGTACCTACTGGTGCACCGTTAATCATGAAAGACTTATATTGCTTTCTGGGAAACATCATTCATGGAGGTAGTGCTGTTCCCGTTGCAGCCACTGCACAACACGTTGTAACGAGTGTACCTCTCTCGGCGCTTGTTACTTTATTTAGCTGTCTAGCTCCCTTTGCTGCAATGACTTTTTTTGGGTTTCTGGACAGTAGTGGTCCCAGTTTCATCTAGACAATATACTCTACTGCCATCTGCAAAACTAGGACATCGCCGCATAACATCTTCCTAATTATTAAAAAAAAACATTTACATTGTGACGATTGAATGATGTTGCCCGTGTTAAGCTGCAAGCTTCTGGCTTTCTCAAAGTTAAATCACTAAGTTGTTTTCTAAACCCATATAACCAGTCAATTCCTGCCATTTTTTTTGTCTTCCCAGTTTTTTGGAATATTCTTATAGTAAACAGCCAACTCATAAGCAAGCTTTCTGCACTCGACCGTATCTAGACTATAGCACATCCTGGTACAGTTAATTAAATATTCCTGCAACGCGTTTTCTTGATCTACACTGAATACGGCTCTATTGGCATAATTTGGAGTAAGTCGCAAATTTTCGGCTTTTTGCGCTGGACATTTTTTCTTCTTTTAGACATATCTTTGCAATGCCATAAAATGAACATGCATTTCATTTGCTGCTTTTCGATGACTAATACCACTTTCAACCATCTGAATCGCTTCTGCCATATTTTCTTCACTATGAAGACCGTAATCCGTCTTCTTCTTACGATTTCGGACCATTTGCTTTTAATATCTTACCTTGAAAAACAAAAAATAATGTAAATTGGGGCTGACTGTTACAGTGTCACACTGTGCCCCGTAACACTGTACCCCAGAGGGAGAAGTCAAATAAAAAAATCGAATGAGTATTTAGGTTAAGTTTACAACAAATTTTTTGCCGGTAATTTATAGCTAAATATACATGAAATAAAGGAAAACTAACATGACTTACCTAGATACAATACGCCCGGAATTAAATGAAAAACTTTGAAATTATTTTTTCAGTGTTTAGTCACATGAAAACCTTTTTTGTTTAATATTCTTTAAGAGCGGTACAATCTGCGGCGATGACATTTGTTTAAAGATAGCTGCTTGTGAGCTTCGCAAACGTGTATACCAACATCATAAAAATAAAAGATAGGGACGGAGATATATGCATTGTAACATTGTACCCCGTGTAACACTGTGCCCCCCCCCCCTGACCCTACAATACGAAATCTCTATGGTGAAGTCGTGTGCGTGGGTCGTTACCGTTATGTTCCCTAAAACATGGTTGAGCGAAGCGATGGCTGGCCCATGCGTCATGCTCGTGAACGGGTGCTGCCAGTGGGGATGAGTATGTATGACTAATACCACTTAATTTTATTAATTTTCTGATATTATTTATAACTTTTACTATCAATGAACTTGTAAGATTTACGAAAAAATTATCTTTTTTTCTAATCTTTTATGTAATTCTAATGAAGTCACTGTTTAATTCTAATTAAACATATCTGTATGAAATAAAACAGGGAAAAAAATGCAGCCCTTGCCGAGTTTCTTGCCGGTTCTTCTCAGTACAAGGTCTCCCGTCGTAGATTTGCTTACCGATGACATATCTTCCGACATTCACAAGTGCTTGTAACAACGATGTTACCTAGACTGAATAAAATTTATTCAATATTCAATAAACGATATTGAATTTGAATTAGCTCATTATGACGTACCCAAAAACATGTAGGTCGAAGGAGATGTACTACATGGAGTACCTACCTCCTCCCCTTATGACTCCAGAGAAACCCACTTTTTATGATGCAACGCAACATTTCATCTGTTGCACTCATGATATAATGAAAACAAATTAAAAATTACCAAATTTTTTCGAGGACCAGTAGAATAGGCCCTTGGGTGTCATGTTAATACGGTCGAGTTTTAGTTTTTAAGTAGGTGAAATGAGACATTTTCAGATATAAGTAACAAGGTACCAAACTTACACAAGTATGTAATAACGGTTCTATTTTGTCGTTTCCAGGACAATCTTCGAGTGGTGTCGTGGCTAATACCCTCCCCCGCAATCCTTTTATAAACTATATTCTCTAATAACTCGAGAGATGTTATCATTTTTGAGATGTAAATTTACCGAGTTCATGAAGTATATTTATAGCGTCGTTTATATATGTATATCTCTCCTATTAGCCATCGTTGACTACGCATTTTTCGATGTTTATTGAAATGTTCAAAATATTATATAATATTGCGGTTTTTGTGCGACAATCTTGTATAGTGTGTGTGATAGCAGTGATAGTGGTAGCGGACGTCGGCGGCGGGTGCACGGGCCGATCCTGGCGCGATTCCTTTGCACCAGATTCCCTGATACGATGTGAACATTATTCTCGTGCGTGAATTTATTAACTCATTGTAATATTACCTGGGACTCACTATACACATACCTACTATGTATCCGCTCGCTCGCTCACTAAATGTGTTCAATCAAGCTGAAATAATTCAGTCGCATTACTTACGAACAACGCAACAAACTAATATAAGTATATAGTTTAGCGGACCTTTCTTAATTTCGTTTTGAATTGAAATAACAAAGAAATTAGTGAATGAATCTGTCGGTGAACGGGCACTCCCAATTCACAGTAGTGGTCGCCCTCTGTGCCCTCATTATCTTGTATGTGTAAGGTCTGTCCCGTCTCATAACAATGCAATAATTGTGGTCACTGTGTTATGTATCGATGATGAGTTTTGTAAATGTAAGATGAATCGAACGCATGTTTGTAACTAAATATTGTTATTAAGAGCACGAGCGCGTGTAAACGTGATGATTCGTTGTTCAACATTTTATAGTTAGGTCCTGTGATGTTCTATAGAACACTGTTATAAGTAAAGCGTTGAGCAGCCATCATCAGCGGTGTATGTATTGTACCTATAGCGTAGATAGAGGACCGCGCGCAACTTCAATGCATTTATGCTACTTTACATTTTGTATTTCAATGTTTTCACTTGTATCTTTTAACAATTACTATATATATATATGTATGTACTTGGTCGCTCCTCTACGTTGTACGCTTTTCTTCGATCAGCTATTAGATTCTGTTGATGCAATATATCGTAAGAATCAACGTACATACTATGTAATGTTAAAATAAAGATAATTCTATCAGTTTAGAAAAAAGTCTGAATTATATGAAGAAATTATAAATTTTTGCTTTCTATTGTCTTTTCTTTGCCTTTCTATAGTAGAACTTCGAACATTTATTTGCAGTAACCAGGGACTCAGACCGCCTAAATCAGTCATATTCAAAAGGATCATTATAATAACATTTTATTAAATTATACTTCTATGTGTTCGCCTTTTTCTACGCGAAATTAATGAAGTATACAAAGCGCTTACAAATAATTCCGTGCGTCATCTGTTGAAGATCGGAACTGTGACTTTTAATAATTATATCAAAATGTGGATTAGACAGGAAATTTCGCTTTGGTACAGACAGCTGCATGTAGAAAAGGATATTTGATATAACTCGCTTATTCGAGTTGTATTTCATTATTTGTAAGTAGGTAAGCAGTACACGGTGTAATAGAAGATTGTTACACATATTTATATTTTTGGCGACAGTAAACAATGTAAGTTTAATTTTCAAAACGTCCGGGTTTGATTCTCGAACTGAGTAAGAGTCTTTGTTTAATTTAATGTACCTATGAATGCAGATTTACTTTGCACTAAAATCGATGACATGGTTCTCCGTGTATATCTTATTTTTAGACTTTCGCATACTGACCGTTCTTACTGCGACACCCTGTATATTGCCTTGTTGTTCATATTTCTTTATATTCTACTAGCTTTTGCCCGCGACTTCGTCCGCGTGATATAGTTACTTTGGGCATCATATTTTCCAAAAACGCAGTTGTTTTTTGAGCTGATGATGAAATTACCTTGATGTTTAAGTTCAAAGATAGTACAACAAAATACCAACGAATGTCCAATATGTTTCAGCACTTTATCTTTGAAACTTTAGAGATATTAATCCAATTCAATGCAATTTGAAATAAAGATGCAAAAAAACAGTTCTGAAGTTTACACAAAACTTAATCGAAAACGTAATCTACGCAAAATTCTTTGAAAGAAACGTTACCACAGATTACTTTAGAATAAACGCCATCTATTGGGTGTATTTGCAACCTAGATGTCAAACGATATTGAAGAATTTTATCTACGAATCACACGTACACCTCCATCTATGAGAACTTCATAAAACTAAACAGTAAATAAACACTTTAAGAGAATAATTGAGATAACTATCCTATCCAGTAAGTTAGACCAAAATACGGGTACATGTGAAATTTGATAGAAATCGGTTCAGTAGTTTTGGAGTTCATTGGCAACATACATCGTGACACAAAATTTTTATAAATATTGATTTATCCCTTTTGTTAGTCTAGTGTAGACAAATCGACTGAAAGGATCTCTCATCTACTAACTAGCTTTTGGTCTGGACAAGGTGTTAAGATCAAAATCTAGTAAAAGAACTGACTAGGTTTGAAATGGTTTTAAGAGTTAATTTTTATCTTGGATGTTTATTTGTGAAACAATTTTAGCTCATATCTATAGTATGGATCTTTTATAAATAATTTATATATCAAATAAAAGAGTTTCAAACCACTCTTTGTAAACAATAATTTCGTAACAGGTGTTTAGTGTATAGCTAATAAGGGCTACCCTCAAGCTTTTACAGCTTTCCAGTCAAAAATAGTTATTTTGTAGGTTCTGTCACAGGACAGCCGGGGACAACAACATGCTGGGTACTCTACGGAAACTTCAACTAGGTAGCGGTTTTAATTTAATATATCCCTCATTACCGCTCCTCAAAATATTTTTTGATTAGCTTTCCGCCAGAGGCTTCGCCCGTTTGGTCTTGTATTATACATAAAAATCTTCCTTTTGAACACCCTATCTATGAAAAAACAACCGCATCAAAATCCGTTGCGTAGTTTTAAAGATTTAAGCATACATAGAAAGCTACTTTCTTTTATACTATGTAGTGATAAATGATGGATGTCATTAAATTTAGAGGTTTTTTTTTCAGACTACAAAATCGAAACGCTAACGAGTTAACAAGCTATTTCAGCAAATAATGAGGAATTATTAAAAAAAAATGCATTAGTTGCCGAAATCAAACTAGATGTCGCTACGGAACTTTCTTGATTTCTCCATGACAACCCTTCCAGTTTTCTTTTACGTATAAAAGTAAATGAATTTTCAAAACTCAATAAACAACTCATATTCCATTTGAACTTTTTCTTATTTGTATTGATATCTAAGTTTCGAGTTATGCAAATTTCAGTTTATTAATATGTTAGTTAAAAGGAACGGTAATGACCATCTTTGGTCGCCATCTAGTGAAGGTGCTTTCTTTTATATTTTTAAATACTTCCTCATTAGATATCTTTTTTTGGCCATCCTACATTAATGATTGTACCAAATGTCAATTGCCAGGTCATTTAACGTAAACGCTTTAGGCCTTAGAACCTGAAGGATTAACGATATGATCAATTTTGGGAGGCCGTTTCAAGAAACAGAACCATTTCATGAGAAGGTCGGCCGGATCACGAAATTATAAATGCCCCGATGCGGCCACGACACGTGCACAACTCAGCAGTTTGTCCTTATTTCAGATGATAAAATAAGAATTTGTTAAGCATCTATTTCAAAATACTGGCGTTGCCGCACTGACAGACACCATTACTTGAGAGAATACTGCGATTGATTAAACTTTGTTGACCTCAACGAAGAAAATAGTACAAAACGGGGATTTAACCTTTGGGGTTAGCATTAAACCTTTGGGGGATAAATGATAAATAAGTAACACCAAAAATTAGAATGTTAAGTAATAAACAATAAATTGTGATAAATAAAAACATATGTATTGAATACAATCTCATCGACGCAAACGACTCAGGTCGATGGACACCGATCACTTGAAGATCTTCCCCTGGTTGAAGGGCCGGCCGCTCTTATCGGTGCCGGTCCACGAGAAGTAGTTCTTGACGAGGGTCTTGGTTTGCTCGTCGTTGGGGTCCAGTTTCTTCCAGTCGTAGGACTCGTAGTCCACCTGCCAGTCGGGTGCGAGCGGGAAGGCGAGCTCTTGCCCTCTCCACACCCACACGCCGGAGATGGTCGAGTCGTTGTCGGACCCGAACAGACAGACGGACGCGAACGCTTGCTTGCGCATCTTGTCCAGCCGCTGGAACATGCCTGCCCGCGCGGTACACGTGTTTAATAAAAAAAGTACAATTTCGAAAGAGCGGCCAAGTGGGAGTCGGTCTCGCGTTTGTTGTATGAGAATCCCATTAAATGTATTTTTTTTTTATTTGTTAACAGAATAACTTCATTTGTGAAAATTTCAAATGTAACTATCAATAGGGTACCGTTTTCCACCCTTTCGTTCGTTGTGCATCATTCGTGTGATAATATGTGCCAAATGTCTTTGTAAATACCGTGACGTCAATTATGCCGTACTTTGAAAACAAAAGAAGGCTGATGAAATTGTATATCATACTATCTAAATATCTAGCAAAAATTTGGGGAAAAAATCACGAATTTCAAAATTCAGTGCATTACCTTGTTGATTATTTAATATTTGGTCATACGATTGTGATGTTAGCAAATAAGTTAACAAGTAGAACGTACCTGTGATAAGATTACAACTCATGAACACCTTGGCGAGCTCCTCGGGATACTTGTACTCGGCGTACCAGATGGAGTAATGTTCGGGATCAAACTTCTGCCAGAAGTAAGGGATGGACTTTGCTTCGTCTTCGTTGGAGTAGCGTCTCTTGAAGTCATCCATGTTGAATGTGCTGAAAATTCAAAGTTACATGACATTTTTACAATATTTACATTATATTGAATATTTGAAACTGTCAAATTTAGCCAATAATTAAAGGATAGAGTTTTATTAAGGGCCAGTTTTTTGATCCGTAGTCAAATGTCATTTCACCATTTGTTAACTTGACTATAGTTAAAACATTAACAAGTTGTTAACCTGCTATTTCATTTTTTGATGCCAAATTAAACCATGGGCAAATTTAACCACTGGTCAATTTGTTGCCAGCACAATGAGTCGTTGTTTCGCTAAACATTGACATGGGTAATTTTTTCAGGGTGACAACACTGACAATCTGAATACCATTTTTGTCATTAGGATTTTGTTCTAAATATCAAATACACAAGAGAAATCTATAGATTATCAAACAGTGTGGATGTTTATGGTTGTTCTGTTGTGTGCACTATGTGTTATTTTTCAGGAAATATATATTTTTTTCTAGTTATTTTAAACTTAACTTTTTTATAAAAAGCATATATCTGTTTTTTTATTATCTTATAGAGAAATACGTGAAAAGAATATAGAATCTAGTATCCAAGGTCGGATTGTAATGTTTGAAAATAAATGGAGGTATATGTATTTTATGTACTGGAGGTATATTTACATTTTGTATTGTCTATTCGTGGATTTTATAAGATTTGAATAATTTGGCATATGCCCATAGAAACAAGAGAACATATTCCTATGAATATATTCCTATGAAATTGCATCATAAAACGAAAATCCAAAAATAACTAATGTCCAAATTCACTGTGGAATCATCTTGGTTTTAAAAACAACGTTAAAAGCAATAACAAGGTACCAAGTAAATCTTTGTCATCTGTTCTTATAACCATTGGTCATTTGCTACCTAGCTTCCAGTGATGGTTAAAGTTTTTGACCAATAGTTGGAATTCTGACAATCGGTTAGGCTAACTATTAATCAAAAAACATATTGTTCTAATATTTAACTGTTTGTCGAAGATTTTGACAAATGGTCGAGTTAACCACGGTTCAAAAAACTGGCCCAAGTGTCTATATTTACTTTCTTTATTGTAATTGCAAATGACTCTATGGTTAAACGAAGTATGTAATAATGTCATATTTTCTACTGACAGGGTATCGGTTATTTCGGTAATCTAACAAAAAATGACAATGGAAAAATTCAAAATATATAAAATCCGGTTACCCTTTAGGCATGAGATCAAAGGGGTCCTTGCTCTCTTTAGGTTTCTCTTCGAGTTCATCGGGCAACTCTGGTTCGGCCTCCTTTTTAGGCTCCTGTTTCTTCTCCTGCTTCTTTTCTACTTTCTTATCCTTCTTGCTGCCGTCCTGAAAATCGACAGATCATGTTGTCGTCGGGGGAGCTTCGAAAATATTTTTGGCACCGTCCAGGGATGATAATGAATGAATAAATATTGTAAGCATATCAATAAAATAAATCGAACGACAGGGTCTCTGCTCACCGACGGTGAGAAATCACATTATAGATATTTAGACTTCAGAGGAGGAGGCTTCTCGTTCGATACAATCTGACGTATGAGGGTTAGTAATTTAATTTTTAATAACAATCAAAAGAAATCACACGTACCACATAGTACTTCTCGTTACGAACTGGCCAGCAGGCCGGTGAGTTATTTTTAGAAGTATATTTTTTTGTTGACATTTTATTCTCTTTTTCATTTTCTTTTCTTCGGTCTTGCTCTTTCTGCCGTCACGTAAGTTAGCTGCGTATTTTATTTTGTATTTATATTTTAATTATTTTATTATTATATTATTTCCTTAACTCTGAGCCCTTTCTTTTCTTCCAACTCCTATCACTACCACCTATCTGTTATACTTTTATAATAGTCACGGTGAAGAGATATCCGTTAGTGGAACGCGTACGTACCTTCTTGCCGGTTAGCTCCTGGAACTTCTTGGGGTCGTAGACGGGCGCGGCGGTGCAGAGCGCGGGCGAGGTGGAGGCGGCGAGTGCGGCGCGCACCTGCGGCTGGTGCGCCACGGTGAGGAACCAGCGCGTGACGTTGACGAGGGCACTGCGCAGCGCCGGCTCCAGCACGTGCGTGAAGGCGTGCAGCAGCGTGCAGTACACCACCACGTCCGCCAGCGTCACGCGCTCCGTCACCAGGAACGTGCGCGTCAGCAGGTGCGCGTCCAGCACCTGCAGCGCCGCCAGCAGGTCCGCCTTCGCGCGCTCCACGTTCTGGTGGCGACACGTTCATCGTTCATTACGAGTTCGGAGTCGGCGTCGCTCCGGCTGGCCTAGATCCGAACTAGATAACCTACCTGCTTGTTGAACTGCATTATGCCCAGGTACGGGAAAACCCAAGCGCAGGAGGCGGGCAGCAGCTCGCTGTCCGCCCACGAGGCCCACTGCCACACGCGCGCCTGCGTCTCCGCGTCTCCGCCGCGCAGTTTAGCGTCCGAAACTGTTATGTATACAGGTACACGCTCTGAGATACTTTAGGAATCGATTAGAAAGACTATAATTAACAAAAACGATGCAGCGATTTCAATTCGACTTCCATGATTTAACCAAAGTCCGATTTCTGGTAACGACGATGTGTTATAAATATTTGTGCGATCATTTTAATACAGGCGAGACGAACATAAATGACTTTCGAATCCACTCCTCATAAAATTTGTTATGACTTTGGATTATTGTTCTATTAGATTATTATACTAACAGATATAATTACTAATAATCAGTGACTTATTATGACCGAGTGCCATCCCCACAGTGAGTGGTCTGAGCTCCATCTTATGGTTGGCCAACGATGTAACAAGTGTTTAATCAAATTATCTATGCATTTTTGATATTTTATGAATAGATTGATAATTACACAAATTTTATTGAATATTTCATTGCAGTCATTACTGTTCCTAGACTGATCGTTAAGAGTAATATAATCAATTATAAATAAGCCCTCAAAATATCTGTGAAACTCACATTTGGTCACTTTCAAAAACATCACTACATCTATATATGTTCATATACTGTTTAAATTATATAAGTCTAAATTTATATTTTACAGAGGATAAGCACACCTACTTACTACCTTCAAGGAGTAAACATTAGTCCCATAGAACCTCACACTAGGGTTTTTGCTAAGTCTCTATTAAATAATATGGATTTTAACTAATACTAAGTGCAGTCTCAGCATAAACTCCAATGCTAAAGTTTTTTATTAGTAACACTGTTAATGAAGAAATTTTTCGAAACAAAACACTAAATGCTATTTTTTGTATTTTTAGTCTCTCCAGTATGGGAACTTCTTAGTTGGAAAGCTTGGCTGGAATCCAGTATGAACTCGCACAATTCTTGTCTAAGAACAATTGGCGAAACAAGCTCTGACAAGTAAAGTAAAATGGGAATTGTTAAATTGATCCTTTTTATTACATATTTACAGAAATAACTAACTGTATCTTTGGGTTTTGCAATGTGTGATCTCCATCGAGATTTTATTTTACTAATTATTGCATCATAAATTAACTATAAATGCATTTCTTAGGAGTCATATAATCATGAGTATGTATGTATGTAACTTTAATGTGTGTATAATTTTATATAATCAGTCTGGCACTCCACATTTTTTATTACATTTCTGTTTAAAAACCTTTTACAAATATAATCAATAAATAATTTGCGAATTGCATAGACATGAATACTGAATTCATAAATATTACAACTGTATAATTTAACAAATGTGTGCAACAGGTATTAATGTGATAGACTGATAGTTAGATTTTTCACCTACCTATATTTCTCGTCAGCCTGTAACCATGGCCGGAGTGACCCGGTCGAAACGTCGGGAAATATGGATAGGTGCAAAACCTTTCTATAGATCTATCGCGTTAACACTCGTTTCATACAATCTAATGAAATGCAACGCAATCGTTGAAAAGTATATGTATAATTTATCTACAAAAGTACATTTTGATGGAACAAGTGTATACAATAAATAGACGTTAACGTAAACCTGAAACCAGGGCTGACGGCAATATCCGCCCGGTGTTCTACTGTATCATTTAGAGGTTATAGATACTGATAAGAAACAGCTGATCATTCGACTTACCATAGTAGGCGATGGCGTTACTCTCCGTCAACAAAACCTTTCCATCAGCACTTTCAAAGGCAGGGACCTACAATATTAATTGCGAATTTAACACGTCACCTTCACACGTAATACTTGATTTCTGATCACTGTAGGTACTGGTTAGTAACACTTTTAAACACATTTAACTCACTTTTCCGGCGGGGAACTTCTTCAGAAATTCTTCTGATTTGTTAGTTTCGCCGAATACGAAATTGGGAGCTACGGTAACTTTTGCTCCAGAATACTGTGCGGCAATCAGCACCTTGTAGGCACGGAAATTCTCCGGATAAGTGTAGAGTACCTATTGAAATAACGTCACATAAATACTTAGTAGTATCAGGTAATACAACTTTCTCATTTAACATAAAGGAAATTACTTAGATTCATTAGATTATTGGAAATTTTTTTTTAACCCACCCCGGTCGCCATCGTCAGTTCGTTGAAGAGAAAAGAAGGGGGTAAGGCAAAGCGGGGTAGGGGAAAGTAGTAGTGATGAGATTCGATTCCTGCTCTTGCTTAATTCATTCGAGTGTACTATTCAAACTCATACTCGAGTGAAAAAGATATCAATATACCCATCATTTAAAGTGGCACAAGATGTAAACAAATATGGCCATGTAACAGTTTTAGTGATGGGACATATTATTAAGAATTTTATTAATTGAACTATCTCATTCATGTCATTCAATGAGTTATTTTTTCAAATATACATATATAATGAGGAAGTATTTAAAAAAAATTAGTTCCCGAAATCAAACTAAATGTCGCTACGGTACGTTCTAGATTTCTCCATGATAACCCTTTCGGTTTTCTTTCATGTTTAAAAGTAAATTAATTTTCAAAACTGAATCAACAACTCATATTCTATTTGTACTTTTTCATATTTGTATTGTTATATAAGTTTCGAACTTTTCAAATTTCAGTTTTTTTATATGTTAGTTAAAAGGAACGGAAATGACTGTCTTTGGTCCATTCGTTTCCTGCAAAAATCAACTTTTACTAGAGTCGCCATCTAGTGGAGGTGCTTTTTAAGTGCTTTCGTTTTATTTTAATACTTCCTCATTTGTCTTAAATGAATATAATTACTCTTAGAGTAGTATAATACGTAATGTGTATTATAATATTGAAAAATCCGTATATTATCATGGCAGCTGAACAAGTTTACTTAATTAAATACTATAAGTGCATTAGATTTCTCGTAGCGACAATTACTACTGTGCATGACTCACTCACTCACTCACAATCACTCGTTTTATGTTCTCATCACTAGTTCTTTTTTTTTCGAACTGTCAGTGGTATGTAAATTGTTAGTTTACAATGTATTATTTTCGCGAATACTGCGATTTTACTCTTTATTTCTCAAAAGTGTCTTTAAAAGTGGTGTTAAAAATGATAATCCAAATTAAAAAATCAGTTTCGATTGTATTTAGTCGTTTCATCATTGCGAAAACTCCGTAAATAGTTCCGGTGAGTTGTTTGTTTACATCATTCGCCACTTTAAAGAGAACATGGTTAGGAGTTATCGGTTCAACTCTGCCCATCAAATCGAGTCTCTTGCCACTAGGTGTCACTTCGCTACTCTAATTTATCTATGCTGCTTATTTCTTAATTACTTATATAAATAACATTTCAAAAGTCTTCTAGTGTGTATTTTATTTATACTGTAGTATTTGTTTAAAATGAGTAAGAAAACTCTCACTCAAGTAGCACGTTTGCAATGAGAAAGTATTTTAAGTACAAATTGCAGATCAGTAAGTCCTTTCGAAATAATTCTTTGTTTTTTAAATAAGATCATATATTAAATCTTATATTCATAATTAAATTATCTTAATAAAAATTCAACAATCAACAAGAAATGTCCGTTCGAAACGAATAGCAAGGTTATATATAATTTCAAAATCACAATGACGTACAGTTATTATACTGTCGCTACTGATCTTCCATGTCGACGGCGGACGTCGAGCCAGGTGTTATGTTATTTCCTATTCAACCTTCTCTAGAAATCAGTTTTATTGAAAAATATAACTTATTAAGTACCTAAGTAATCATGCTCTCTTAAAAATCTCTGCGATGGTGTCGTGTGCGTCAGGTTGTTACGTTCCCTCAAATATTCTTGAGCGAAGCGACGCATGGTTCATGAATCTGCCCTGGACTACTTAATGTAGTCCATTTTCTTTTATTATGAATATTGTATATTGATTTGTCAATGAGTATGTATGATTTCTGATATTGAAATGGAAAGTGACTTCATAATCTAGTTAAGTCAAATTCCAATAAAACTTCTCTGTGTGAAATAAAACAGGAAGAAAAAAGAAGTTCCCTTGTTGAGTTTCTTGCCGGTGCCTCTCAGTACAAGGTCGCCTGCCGTAGTTTTGCGAACCGTTAACATAGTTTTCGATTTTCACTATGTAACAGCCTAGACTGAATTGATTTCGACATTTATATTAATATAATCCGTCGTGTGGATACATAATGGCACATACAGAAATACAACAAATAAAAAGAAACAGGCTGAATTTTGCGCTCGGTTTTTTGTTCTTTATTCCAAACGATTCGGATGAATCGAGTCAATTGAAGTTAAGAGAAACCAATAATTTGTCTCATCACTAATGTTGACACATTAACCAAATATCGTTCCTTTACACGTAACATAATAAATAACTTAAACTTACGATTCAAATAAATTAAAATTAATTTGAAAGTAAGATATTATAAGAAATGAAACGTTGTCACATTTGTTAATTTTCGATACTCAATTTACTTTTATTACGTCAGAAAAATATTTGTATGAATGTCATAGACAATTATCCAAAAATCGCTAGTGACATCTAGTTTGATTTCAACAAGAAATTCTTATTTTTTTAAATCTGCCTTAATGTCATTCACTTTAATTTCTGTGATGTCCTTTTTATTTTCTTTGTTTATGAAATTGCATTTGATTACGTCCTACGTCGACTTGCAAACTTTTTTGCTCTAGATTTGTAAAAACAATTAACTTTCCTTTGTGTTTGATTTATATATTTTTTTTTGTATTTTAGAGTTATTTACAAGTATTTTTTTTCATATGTGGTTTCGATATTATTACCCCAAAGCACTATACCTATAGTTTTCTAGTACTAGAGTTTCTTTTGTTCTTTCCAAACTTTTGCTTAGGACACCAAAATCCAGTGTTTAGCATAGACATCAAACTTGAAATTGCAAAGGCAGGGTTTGTTGCTATAATAAAAAATAATCCAGCAATAAAATTACGGCATAATTTTAATTCAGCGTTAAACAAAACTAGCTTTCCATCAGCGGCTTGGCCCGCGTGATCCGCTGGTACCTAACTAGTAAATCTGAACTTCCCTCCCGCACGCGCACCCCCGCCTTAGTGGCGCCCACTTCGTAACGGGCCGTGCAACAGAAATCGTTATATTTTGATTTCGTCATAACTACAAATTTTGATAGGGATTAATAGCATGAGTAAAATAAACACGTTTAAATGCTGTGAAAAAAATTCAAGATTTTTAAATAAAAAAATGGTTGTTGTGCGTATTATACTACTCTTTGGTTGTGCCTCACTTGACATTGATAGGTATAGCGTGTCGCGGACTTTTTAGTAGATATTTATAAGATGTACAATTAATTAGAACATATTTTTATGGTTCTATCTTTTATAGTTTAGGCAGAGTACGCAAATAAGTAACTTTTCTGGTTGATTTTGTACACCTTGTGTCCGAAAAATCCAAATATCTTACGGAATCCTATTTTTTTCCAAAATAAAATATAGCCTTTGTTACTCGTGGATAATGTAGCTATCAAATGGTAAAAGAATTTTTAAAATCGGTCCAGTTGTTTTTGAGCCTATTGATTACAAACAAACAAAGTTTTCCTCTTTATAATATTAGTGTAGATATTCGGGTTTTTTCTATGCTCAGGTTTCTTCCTCAATACTTCAATCAATCGACAATCGGAATAGTAATTACAATGCTCATTCTTCTAATTGAATAGATCAAGTACTATATAGCTCGTGTTTGATTATTCAATAAGTAGGCAGTATTTGCTCAACACTAGCGATTTATTTAGATCGATGGATTTTGGTGGTGTGTGATTTTTTCATATTTTCTCAATTTTGCAAGATTGTGAAAAGCGTTCGTTCAACTCAACGTCTAATTGATTCTAAACAAACAGTTACTGATACACTACTATAAAATGGTGAGTACATAGAAAATGTTTACTGCTGGAACCAGCAGTTTCTCCTGAAATCGTGATCGCGACTCGCGTTTTGGAAATACGATGTATTCTTACCAGTCAACTTTTTAAGGGATATTACTCCCATGTTCATATCACCTACTGGATAAAGTTTTAGGTAAATTAGGAATGCTATTATAATAGTAAATATTATGTTTTTTTAATTTATGTTTGCTCTACGTTTTGCATTTAATTTCATATACTTATAACTTATAATTTTTCAGGGAAATGAAAATTCAATTCCGATGGAGCTGTGCTCAAATTGTGAGTATAATTGATTCACTTTCTTCAATAAGTCTGCTCTTTCCTCTTATATGATTTGTTACTAATTTTAATTTCCAGTGAAGTTTTAAAGCTTTATACTTGTCTGCCTTCAATATACTCATTAATAAGTATTATTACAAGCTTCTGTGATGATAATAACCATAACAAATTAAATTAAAAAATTGCATAATTTAATATATTAACAAAAGCTTTCTATTTTCTATGTATTATCATTGAGTATGGCTGACTTTTTCTTCCTATTTATTGAAAAAGTAAAAGGCAGTACTTTGTAATTGTGAGGACCATACACTGTAAAATATAGGGTATTCAAATGAACAGTAATAAGAGGTTTGTTTTCAGCACGTGTTAACTGCATTGATTTTAAGGTGGAGAACTGTGAGTGTCGTAGTGTCACTCGCCCGCCTCCAATGTTCATCTTCATGTTAGAGTATTGCACTCACACCTGACAGTCCAGAACAATTTTTCTATTTCCAAAAATAGTTGACAGTATCTTTTCATAAACATATTCTTGTCTATATATTATGATATAGGCCTAGATATTGAAGGTTGTCCATTTTAATTTCTGAAACTTATAATATTGATACAGCCAAACAACTGTTTTTATATTTAACACTATAAATTTCTGTTTTTTTTGCAAATTTATGTTCTTGTCTCTGTTTTCTATCTTCCACTTGCAACAACCTGAATTATAAAACTGCTGTAAATCAAGTTGTGCCACATATGAAGCAGTATCTATTTTCTTGAAATAAAGCTCCAGATTAATGTGCATAATTCCTCCACCTCGATGCTGAATTGACTGAAAATTGTTCTGGATAAAACATGTTTGCATAAAATCCATAGTTATGTTTGGTTAGTGCATCTTATGTCACATTTTGGCCTCTAGTGGAAACAGTGTCTTAGCGTACTTGCTATGAATGTTATAATAGAATGCTACAATACTGCCACTCAGGTGCGAGGAATCTATGCAAATGGGAGAGGTCAGTTGTATTACTCGGCCGGTATTTTTATTTGTTTAGGACAAGGTTGTTTCTGTAACAGTTATAGAATTTATTTGCATGTAATGAATATATACACTTTAAGAAAAATCGTACTGATTTTATAGTTAGTTACATGCTACAGCCTTGCTTTATATTAATTTAGATTAGATATAATATGTTTTTACAGTGGCAATTGAGTAACCACACTACTAATATGTGTCCAAATAAGTTGGTTTTATGGCTGACCTTTCTCTTGGCTTGTTAGTTACTGTTGTCTCGATGTCAGCGCCTGTTGACGGCTGCTCGTCTTTTTAATTTGTTAGAACTGGGGGCGGGGAGGAAGGGGGCAGGGTGTGTGAGTCTTAAGCTGTTGATGTTTGTTTTTCTTATAAATTCAGTTAATATTATATGGTAAAATAACAATAATGCTGTACAGCTTTATGCACTTAAAATGATATCTGTGTAAAATATGGCTATCGCTTTATATGCATATTTATAGTATAGTGCTGTGTTTGCGAGTAACAAAGTATTTTGATATAAAACGCTTTGAAAATTTTAGTATATTCAGAAGTTATAACCATTTATCTACAACAAAAACTTTGTTACAAATTGCAGGATATTCTGTTTATTACTGTACTGTACTATTTTTCGTTAATGTTATTTCTTAAATTTCATAATTAATGAGAATGTTAATGGTTGTTATATTTTTCGTATCATCTAAACAGAAATAGATATACAGAAACTTAGCAAATTGTGAAGTGAATTTTAACGAAAGTTGTTAACCAGACTGAGTCACTGCAAGCACTGTTTGTGTGGACTTAGATGACGCTAGAGTTCACTTTCTAGTAGAATGTAATAGCTCGTAGATAATCTGAACTCTACATTTGGCTCTCAAAAGCGATGATGAACTTTAAGTATTTAAAAAATTTTTGAAAGCTGAAATCATGTACGTGTTGAAACATTCATCGGTACCACGTTGGGCGCCAAATGTTGGTAGAAGCATGAGGGTGTGTACGATGTTAATGAGTGTGTGTGATGGCGCGCCACAGTCGATGCGGACGAGATCCGGAGGCTGGGAAAGAGGTTCCGCAAGCTCGATCTGGACAATTCTGGGGCGCTCTCCATCGACGAGTTCATGTCTCTGCCTGAACTACAACAGAATCCGCTTGTGCAACGTGTCATCGATATATTCGATGCGGATGGCAACGGCGAGGTAACAATTTACATTTTATAAGTCCAGCTTAGTATTTGTTCATAATGTTATCTCACGTATACACACAAAATCCGAAACACGAGTAAACGTATAGCCGAAATAGAGTAAGATTATTCACTTTGTACGTCCTTGTATTACTTTTTAGCGGTACCGTGATACGCATATTCAATATTTGAAATATAACAAGGGTACAATATATGTTTTTTTAGTTTATGCGGTAAAACGATTTACTACTAATATTATATACCCTCCAAGATAGAGGGTTCGGCTGTAAACCAATTAATGTATATATATATTTGAAATAGCGAATATGTACATAATTCGATTTTACAAAGTTTCTAGCGCAACCAGTATTGAAATGGTCGATTTCTAATGGTGATAAAAGCTGTTTTATGATTTTTTTATATAGGGATTATTTGTGTTTGTCATCAAAACAATTTCGTTTCAGTATATAATCAATAAATATTCATATTCTATCAATATTCGGCGGATCACTTTGGCCGACAAAAGATCCCTTGCTGTGATGGTTACTTAACTAGAGACTTCTAGTGACATATATACTTTTTCATTGTTCACTAGCTTTCCGCCAGCGGCTTTGCCCGCGTGGTCTTGTATTATACATAAAAACCTTCCTTTTGAATCACCCTATCTATGAAAAAAACAGCATAAAAATCCGTTGCGTAGTTTTAAAGATTTAAGCATACATAGGTATATAGAGACAGACAAAGCGACTTTGTTTTATGCTATCTAGTGATTAATTTACATGATTTAAATCTATGATTCTGGTGTTTTATAATGTAAGGTGTATTTTTTAATGTTGAGTAGCTTTTTGTGCCCATTTTATAGCTAAAAGAAGGCCGAAATAATGGTAAGGTTAAACTCAAAATATTGACAATTAAAAAAAAAATTGGAGTATGTTTTTTTTTGTAGAGTTAATTTGTTTTTTTTTATAATACAGTAGAACCTCGATAACTCGAACCTCGGTTAAACCTTAAACACCTCTATAACTTCAAAAAATAATATGTTCCCTTCCCAACAGAGCTCAAAGCCTCAGTAACTTAAAATACGCAACCTTTGTAACTTAATTAAGTAATCTCTGTATTGGTTCTCAGTAACTTAAAGAAATGCTTCCACAACCTCTATAACATTAAATTGTTTGTCGATGACTCATTTTGAAAGAGCATAACAAAAGATTTCGGTATTTATTGCTTGAAGTAGTCCTTTCATGAATTAGTCCTTTGGCTAAGTAGCCATTATGCAAATTGGTCTTTTAGCGAATTAGGTATTACGCGAAGTAGTCCTTTAGCTAAGTGGGCATTTTCCGAAGTCGTCCTTTCGAGACTCGGTGGCCATTTTGCGAATTAGGCATTATGCGGCCAAACGACATAGACCCTTGATAACTTAAAACCTCTATAAATTAAAATATTTTGTGTTTCCCTTGGACTTTAACTTATCGAGGTTCTACTGTATAATGTTGATGATTATGCTTTATTCAAATAAATTAATAACTGGTTCAAAACAATGAACCTCTTAAAAACACAAATAAAGGTAGGTATTTTATAAACAAGAACAACAAGACTATGATTTAAGTAAAGCCAACTTTAAATTATTTTGATGACATACTTGTTTACTAGAATTATCTATTTGGTTTGGATATATTGATATAAAGGTATTTTATTAATCACTTTGGAAGTATACTTTATCATATAAAAGTACCTAAGAAAAGTGGGTACGTTAAAATTGGACTATAAAACACGAAGTTATAATTATTGAATTAAGAACCTCTGCCTTTTTGTTCTGAAGTCGTTTAAAAACTATAGATAAAACATAAGAATTTTAAAATTTGTTACATAAAATAGGATTTGTGTAATTTCTTGTTTTAGATAAAAAGGGAATATATGTTAAAGTTTGTGGTTCTTGCGGGTTCACAGGTTGACTTCAAAGAGTTCATCCAGGGCGTGTCTCAGTTCAGCGTGAAGGGGGACAAGTTGTCCAAGCTGCGGTTCGCGTTCCGCATATACGACATGGACAATGACGGCTACATCTCCAATGGGGAGCTCTTCCAGGTATAATAAAATACCCGAATTATTACTTATTTACTATGATTAACTTTATTTCGTGAACATAAGCATTAATTTTAAAGAAATAATAATAAAATAACGGTTATGTTTGCGAAGTGCGTTCATATTACGGGGAAAACCCGAAATTTCTAATTAGATTGTTACTTCGGGCCAATGTAGTCACATCGGTTCGGTTAATTTTGATATTTATCATCGGACACTGGTTTGTAGAATTAAGAATTATTACGCTATAAGCGTATAAATGAGATGTTTCAACAATTTATCTCAACTATTAGGAAAAGAGACGCCTTTACAGCTTATCTTGATTTTGAAGTGCTACAATTATTTTAAATATTTTTTCCGATTTATCACCGATGTAGACTGTTTTCTACAATCACTACATTTTCTTCTTATCAACGAGGTAGGGATATAGAGTACCTGTTAAAAACTGAAAACCTGAAGTCGTCGGCGGATCACAAAGTGCTTAATACTAAACTTTAAACATGCTGTTTTTATTTTTGTAGGCGAGTTTTCGATCGATTTAAAACTGTTGGATTACAGTCTTAAATCAGGTTATTTGATTTATATAGTTTCAAATCTATAATCAGTGCCAATTTATATTAATTATAAAGAATGCAGAAGAGATAGGAATTTTGTTAAATTTATATCACGAAATTTGATCAACAGGTATTAAAAATGATGGTGGGCAACAATCTGAAGGACACGCAGCTCCAGCAGATCGTCGACAAGACGATCCTGTTCGCAGACAAGGATGAAGACGGCAAAATCTCGTTCGAGGAGTTCTGTAACGTGGTGGGCAACACCGATATACACAAGAAAATGGTGGTGGACGTCTAATCCTCCCCCCCCTCCCCCTCCTCTTCCTCCTCCTTCGTGCGATTTCTCGCTCTAGCTAGAACACTATTCAATTGCGCATCTGAAGATTCGCGGCGTACGACACTCGCTAATATTATTGACTACTTAATATCGCGAACGTTTGCCATTTATATTTACCGAGTTAAATTTTTGTGTATTAGTTCTGTTTTTAATGCATTTCTCGGTCCACCGTGAGATGTTACGTCGATGTAGATTATGTTGGGTTCAAGACGGCAGGTGCCATACTTAATGTTCGTATGTATATAATATAATATAGATAATATAGGGTTACCGGTTAACGGTGAGAGCGCCGGCCTTCGGGGGTCGGCCCCGATACACAGACACTCGTCATTGTTGCGTATTCATTGAACCAAAGTTCACAGAAAATGTACGTTAGGTCGCCGATTCATAATAAAAACTCATTGTTTACACATATAACATAGACATCAAAGCTAAGATATACTCGAATTAAACATTAAGTGAAAGAAACTTAAATTATAGTAATTATTTTTTTTCAATGTCTCATAGTTTACAGTCAAAATGAATGTCAGAATAGTAGTGAGCTATTTGACGTAAATGAATAAACACGAACTCGTTTTTAGCGATGTCTCCTCCGGTAAATTGTTTTACTTGTCGAATTTGTTTAACGTCAGTGTGAACTATGTAGTTCAATGAACCCGCGACCGCCAGTGCGTACGTCGCGACTCGACAGGGACGCCTCTCTATCGTAATTCATTTACATTTTATCTCTTTAAGATTTACATATGTTTACAAATTATTAATTATTATATACAGACATAGATTTTAGAGAAAGTTTTATCGTAGTCAAATCATATTAGAGTTTTTTTTTTATTATTATTTTGTTGTGGTAATTTAAGTTGATATTGTTATTTAGTGTTTTATTTATACACATAGTCGGTGGTCGGGATCGAGTACCAGTCGGTCACGTGACCGGTAAAGTTCGCGTCGCGGGCGCGGGTCATATCAGGTAGCGGCACAGTAGCTGTAGCGTGCACCGTAGCGGCACCCGTAGCGCCACCCGTAGCGCTCTCGTAGCGGCTCTCGTAGCCTCGCGTCCGAGCGGCTCTGTATCTTTACAAATCTCTCGTTGCCTTACCTGTATTTTATACAATAATGACATATATGCGAGATCCTGAGTGTAGCGTTCAGCATCTCGATGTGAGTGTGAGAATGGAGACGGTTTACCCCGTGATTTTACTATTATCAAACGATTTCTTCGTTCCTGTTTCCTCCCTCCCTCACCCCCCCGCTGTCCTGATGCAGGTGACGTCATCGCTCAAGTGACCGCGCCGCAGCTTCGCGGCCCGTCACGTGTCACTCCATCGATTACCACAGCGCTAGTTCCCTCCTAGACAAACTTCATGATTGTACAAATGATTATATATAATTATATAACGATTTATGTGTTATTTCATATATTATTATCATTACTTTATTAAAAGAGAATTTAAGCATTGAGTGAATTTAAAGACGACTTCATACCGTTAGCGTTAAAGATCTGTGTTTCGCGTCATTCATATACAGAACAGTTAGTTTGTGAGAGTTGATATATTCTGATGAATTATACTGCGACCGAAGGGTATCGATAGTTGGAAATCGCTCTCGTGTGTAGTGCATTCGATTGACTTATACGATGTAGAACCGACAAGATCCCTTCGCCTTCGCAGTATAAATGAATCGTTTCATCGAAGTCAGCGGTCGGTCGGCCTCCGTCGGCCGCGCGAGAATCTTGGCAATCTCTAGTCACGGCTGTTGTGCGATATATTATACTGAATCATATTTACTCCTAGTGTATGTACCGCGGCGTGAATTCGCGCAACGATCGCGTCGCATTGTTGATAGTTTTATTCCCTCGGTTGATTTAATTATGTAAGTTTCAATCGTAGCAATACACTGTTTTAAAAGCCTTATCCGGGAAGGAATATCGGAGTACTTCCTGTAAATTTTATACTTAGCACAGTTTCAGTGTACCCCTTCGTTGGATCAAAACGCTGCAAGAGCGACTGACGCACATGTTACTTCTGTTGAGTGTGCTATGTTGTGAATGTTTATCCGTACTGTAATTATGCTGTTGTAATGCGTGTAAAGTCTATTCACTGATGAATAATGTAACTTACTGTAAATGCGTCAGTATTATAATGACAGCGCGAGCATACAGTACCTTACATAACTTGTTTTTTGATACCTATCGTCTATAGGTCTGTTTACGTGAGACTACATTGCATCATAGAGGCCAGCTATGATAGACGTCGCGGCAACACATGTAATGACAAAATATTATATTGAGTGTTGTGTAATTCATCCGTCTTATTGAGAGTAAGTGAGGACCGCGTTTTACCTCATGAGGCACTCGCGAGGTACTCCTCATTTTAGGTGAGGTAGAGATAAAGTATGTAGCGAGGCTTAAGGCGAACGAGGGAGAGTTGGTCGTTGCATTGCGCGCGCCACTACTCGCCGGCCGAGCCGAGTGGAACATTTGTGATTAATAATTGATCGATTATTGAAAACGATATTTAAATAATTTTCATCGATAACAGAACAGATGCTCATGAAATACGATGACATTGTAATAATATAATTTATTGAACCACCATTTAAAAACTATTTTAAATTATACCCTATTACATTGAAATATTTTTTTGATTTTATTCACTTTGCCTCGGTTGATGTGAAGAACCGATTAATTAAACCGATAAATTCATGTAAAATAACGTTCAATAGGCACTAGTTGCGAGGAAATACTAAACTAAACTGAGTCGTTCTATCAAACTCATAAAACCGACCCACTCCCTCGATCAATCGTTAATTATGTTATATAAACTCAGCCTTTCATTCAAAGCAACTCGCTATTCTGCTGAATGAGGTGTGATAACTGTATCTATAACTGTATACCTCGTGGCCTCAAAAAAGAGGTAGTTCAAAGTTCAAAACTTGTACCTCCCTAATATTGTCGCGACGAGTAACAAACGAGGCACCTCACTTCAATCGTATATTTTCCATTTTATTTTTAGAATTTTACCAATCGCATTCGTATTATGGGAAGTGATTTTATACAGGTTGCTTTGGGCGCCAACGTAAACCTCGTGACGCAGGAAATTGCAATAGGATTTAAAAGTTATTATTATTTGAATAAGTTTGTAACGTAGATTAATTTCTACACGGTGATTTTGGCGAATTATACACGCTGTATCAAATACGATACTTTAAGGCGCGATTTACTATAACATGATTTGGGTTAGTCCCGGTCCTAAATCATAGCGTGGTACAACTTTCATTAGGTGCAAAAGTTATGGACCATTATTATTAGTTTTCATTATCATAAATTATCTTTAATTTAATTTTAACTATCGTCTTCGAAAATTATTTACGAACTTCAAGGAAGTTCGTTCGTAATCTTGGTGTGGTAATGCAAACAGACCTATTAGATTATATGTTGGCTCATCTCCATCATTACTAGTTAGTTTCCTAATTAAGTCTACTCTAATGTGGAACTGATAAGTTTTATTAAAGATTGAAATTGCAAAATGCGTTTTTTATTTTTATTATCCATAATTTGAGTTATGAAAATATCTTTACTTCCCAGTAGAAGTGAATGCCACAGTTGACATGAGGTCAGAATTCTGCTTGACTCAAGAGGTAAATAGTATTTAGCATGATTGTTCTTTTGTATTGAAACATATAATAAATAAAATTATACATACAATAACAGTAAAGTTTAATAATATTATCTATACTAATAATTACAACTCATTACACTACTATACAAATTTGGTGGCGATGGCCAATAATTTAGTGTAATCAGCTCCTTTAGAGTGTGTACGTTCCTTGAGGATGGTGCGTAGTATTGTGGGAATTGGGACATGAATTCGGTTGCCCAGTGGTGTGCCGTTGTCGTCTATCAGTACAACATTATTGCTATCAAACTTCGGTACCCTCACCTTTTGGGTTTGCTTTAGCCCCACAAGAATACCTTTCTTCTTTTGACCCTTAATGGCAACCATAACTCTGTCTCCTATGTAACCAACACCTGAAAAAGTATTGACTATATAGGTACTATATTGAAAAAAAAAACTAATGTTAACTCCAGCGATACGCATTTTTTTAAATGTCAATTTTTTTAGCTAGTAACGAGTGCGAGTCGCACTCGTGTACGAATGGTTCCGTACCGGAAACAAGCAAAAAGATCAGGTTTGTTGTATGGAAGCATCCTTAAATATTTATTGTATGCTTGTTTTTAGTATTTGTTGTTGAAGTGGCAACAGAAATACATTATCTGTGATAATTTCAACTGTCTAAACTTTCACAGTTCATGAGATACACAGCCAGTCCATTAAAAATGTCATTAAACTTTTAATGGACATTTGTGCACTGACCGACAGCCTGGTGACAGACAGACAGTGAAGTGTAAGTAATAGGGTTCCCATTTTACCCTTTGAGTACAGAACCCTAACAAGTTTGTACTAAAAAATTTCAAGTGCACTAAGTATCATGCCGTCAGAAGTTAAGGGCCAGTCACAAATGGGTGACCATAAATTTATCATCATGAGCTCTAACCATGCTTTGGAAGGTATTTTAAACTGTTGCTTCCAGCTGCAACTGCAGTTAACGCCCACCAATCCGGCTGTTTGTGAAGTGGATCATGGCCTATTCTATTAAATTAAATTCTTTACTTCTAATTAAAAACTAAATTAAATTCTTTAATTCTAATTAAAAACGAAATTAAATTCTTTAATTCTAATTAAAAACTAAATTAAATTCTTTAATTCTAATTAAAAACTAAATTAAATTCTTTAATTCTAACTAAAAATAAATTAAATTCTTTAATTAAATAAAATTCTGTGTACAGGATAGGCTTGTACCTTTTACACATAATTATAGGTTCTGTTAATTAGTAATTTATCAAAAGTAGTTTATCAAAACATTCAGGTTTATTTACAAAATAGGCGACTTGACAAGTTGTAGGGGTGCAATTTAGTCTTTAACTATGGAGGAAAAGTAACCTTACAAAGACTGGTTCTATACTAGTGGCCCAAAAATTCAAAAGATTACTTCCTGGTACATGGAATTGTTCGCAGATCTAATATTAATATTAGGATGGATAATGCATAAAATGCAAATAATCCACACACATACATCAGAATACAATATTTGAACAGGCTTCAACAGGCAACAATGTTGACATTGATTTTTAATATATATTATAAGTGCAATGTTGTTTTCATAAATTAATCATAATCCGATTGTTTTTTATAATTTGTAGTCCAGTAACTAGAGCAATGACAAGGGGACTTTATTGAATGTTAACATTATCAGAATTAGGGCTCAGGGGTGAATTCACGCCGAATTAAGTTGCGATTTGAAATTTAAATTCTTTATTTAATTCTCACACTCTTCCAGCGAGTAATAATAATGAAACCAAATTAGTTGTAGAAAACATTTCGCGTCCTTTTCCTTTTCAGATTTAGTGTATAGACAATTTGTCTATAAATTATAAGTCATAAATACAATTCAACTTACGTTGTTTGTTATAAACACAAATAACTTTAGGTGGTTTGCCCTCAGCCATGGCTCTTTTCCCAATTTCTGAATTATCCACAACTCTGAGACGAGTTAATAATCTTACTTCATTTAAACATGTCGTCGTATGAAAGCTGCGTGATAATTTTGATGGGTTTATTTTATTTAGCAATTCCTTAAACATTATTATTAATTACATAAAATTGAAAACAGAAACAACTTTTATCCTTCTTTTAATATTTTTAGGTTAGGAAAACAAGTTATGACATTTGTTTTTTTTTAATTTAAGCAAATGTATCTTAGTTCTTACAGCCAAATTTTTGGAATATCTATTAGTTTTAGAAAAGTTTACTGTTCAATGTTTGTGTAAAGAGTCCATAAAAAATGTAAAGAGTCCATAGAAAAGACACGACTAGTTCGCTTTTCCACTCTAAATTCACGGAACACATACGATCCACAATACGGTATTCCCCACTAATTGGCCAACTTGTATTGTCACCTGACAAGTTTCATAGTAAGTTGCAATTTTATATATTGAAAACGTAGTGTTTTAATTTTTCAATATATATAAAATCCAATCTAATAGTAAATTATACAACACGCAATGCAGCAAAACTGTTTAGATGTCGACTTATTATAGACTGAGCATACTACTAGCAAAGTTGTAAACACATTGACTCCGATATTGCGTTCCACAACATCGGCTGTAATAAAACTGAGGAATTTAAGAAAATATATTGAATTCGGTCGGAAAGCCCACGGATGATGTCATTAAGAGTTTTTGAATTATTATTATTAGGGCTGGGGGTAACAACAAAAGACTGGCCCTATCTATCTCAGAAACCCCATAATGACAGAGGATGGTAATTTGTGCGTAAAAAATAACTAAGATATTTTATTAATTCTTAGAAATCGTTTATCAATTGTCTCCATATAGTGGAGAATAGCTCGTGAACCAGTAAACTTTTAACATTCGAGAAATACTTCAAGCACTTTCAAGCTTGCGTACCGTATAGTATAGACTTTATATTTTTTAACAACTTATTCGATCTCATTCCTCTATCTACCTGGCGTGATGTTTCACCATGATTGCATAGAGGCGGGGACCATTTCAGGATCGTCATCATAATGAGATTCAATTACTTATTTTTATTTGATTGAATCAAAGGAGTATTCATTACACAGTCGGAGAGTGGTGACGTCTATTGATTACGGGTCGTTAGAGCGCGCGGCTCGGGTTCGCGACAATGATTAAAGGAGGTAACCCAATAAGGAGCGGATTGCGGCGGTGATCGGAAACAAAACAAAAGAGTGCGGGCTCAATTTACGTCATTAAGGGGCGAGGGCGGGGGCCGAGGGGGGACGCTAACACCTTTTGAGTTTAAGTTCAATAATAATCGTTTTCGTGTTCGCATCCGCGCTTTTGTATCGCGTGCCTTTTCCGGATCCATTACACGGCTATCTTCGGTGAATGAGCGAGGCCAGATTGTTTGGACGTGCACAATAAGGCGTTCATTAGAGAATAACGCAGTTGTTTTGGGTATCGAATTGTGTATAGATTAGATCGAATGTCAGCCCTTTCATAGCTAACACTCATTTCAATTTGTTAATTTTTTTTGGTCACGCCTACAACTATGCTTTGATATTATTTATATAGCTAAAATAATATCAAAGCATAGCTATAATATATTCGTTATATTGATATTTTGTGGATCCAATTTGAATTTCATATATTTATGGAAGTGGGCAATAATTTTTTTTTCATTATAACCAGTTAGATAGTTGCCGGTGGTGTGTTCGGGTACAATCACAATAATATTGCATGTGCTAGTGTGTAAACTATGCTCAGAAAAATCCTGACTTTCCCTGACCATTTATCAAAATCTCCCTGTAACTAACGCCTCTAAAACCACATTTTAAAAGTGAAACATTTTCGGTATTATACGATAAATATCACAAATTCCAATTTAAGCACAGATTTCATTATCTAAATTAATAATAATTTGCCAGGAAAGTATACGTTGTTTTTAATGGTAATTTCGTTTCAAAACCATTGTGTATATTTTCAGAAGACAAGAAATATTTTGGATTTTTGAAATCCAAGTTTATAATATTTTTTAATAATAATATTTTTTATTGTCAAACTGTGTACAGTAGATCTTACATAAACAAGTCAGTTCCAACAGCTGCCCATTTCGGACATACAATGATGTTTTATGTTTAAAAAGAATCAATTGTTTTTGGCTTTGCAATTTTTTCCATCAAACATTAAATTAGCTCCAATAGTGCTGTATATAGACAGGAAACTTAACGTGATTCACAATCGGATATTGTAGATCTTACGACTGCCAATTGGACTTTGGACAGTGGTTTGGCTTTACATCAATGTCTTCAAAATAATTTAATAGTGTCTTGACGGAATAGATTATTTTGCCGAATATCATCATCATGTTCAAAAAACTAGTTGTCACATATGGATTTCATTGAAAACCAGAAATACAGCCACAGCCATCAATCAGCAGTTATACTATTACCTCAAACCTACACTTAAACTATGCTTAGAAATTTCTAACTTTGAGCGTCTTATCAATTATAGGCAATCACAATATGCACTGAAACCTATATAAAATAAAGCTATAACCGAAATAAAAATCTTAAGCAATTGAAAAAAGAAAAAACTGGACAAGAGCGAGTCGTATTCGCGCCCTGGGGGTGCCGTACCAATTTTAATTTTATAATTATAAGCAAAATTATTGTATTTAGCTTTCCAATATTGTAATGGAAAGTGACTTCATATTCCAATGAAGTCACTTTTCAATAAGATTTCTCTGTGTGAAATAAAATAGGGAGAAAAAACAGCCCTTGCTGAGTTTCTTGCCGGTTCTTCTCAGTACAAGGTCTCCCGCCGTAGTTTTGGGAACTGATTGTGTAGTTTTCGACTTTCACAAGTGCTCTGCAAAAGCCTAAATTGAATAAACAATTTTAATTTGATTTGTTTGCACATCCACACAGACATGACACATGAACTAGCAGCTTCAATTTTAATTTTAATTTCGACCAACTATTTAGATTTTATATATATATTATTTTTTTATTACAAATGTATAGTTTTCAGATTTTTCCTTGAACTTGTTCTATAAAACGATGCTACTTGAATAATAGTTTTAGGTCAACTGGAAGTATACCATCAATTTTGATTTCCTTCGTCGTAATGTGCATTTTTGCCGCGTAATGACCGTATCTTCATTCAAGTTGAGTTTCATCTTCACGGAGGCGGAGATGTTCAAGTTTTATCTATTTTTTTGGTAAATTTACCTTCAAAACTGAGATGGGCATGGCACCTATAGTTTGGAAAATATATTTTTCCTAATTACCTTGCCCTCTCTCTTCAAAATTGGATCAACAACTTGGATAACGACATTTATTATAATAATATATTAAAGTGGATGTCGTCAATCATATTATTTTGCATATTCACTTTCCTCAAGCGCCATATACTATGTATTTATGATACACGACGCTAAAAACCCATTATACTTGGCTTGGTTTATTTTACTAATTAGAAATCTAGCTCGTAAATATAAAGTGATATTAGCACAATTCACGGTCATGTGTACCTATCTACTGTTTGAGTCTAGACGTTGGGAGCCGGCAGGGTGATGCAAGCTAATTTAGAAGTGTATTAGAAGTGTGTATCTATATCTATTTTCTCATTTAATAAAAAGGTTGTTAACGGATTTAAGCATTAAAATTTTAATTACGATAGTAGATTTTTAATATACTTTTCAATTATAAATTATTTTTTGAAGTATTTTTCATTAAGAATAGTTTTGAGTATAGCGCTGTAAATGCAACATTGATCAGATATAATAATTAGAACAAAATTTACATCTTTATCGAAAGTTTCAATATTTGTAAAAATATTTTTTTCGGCTGTTTGGGTGGATTGCCCGAACATTGGTGAAAATACGCTCTGTTGTAGCCAAAGAGTAACAATTTCGTGCAAGATTAGTCGGTCCTGTTAGGGCCTGGGTAGCTCAGTGGTTAGAGCATTCGCCCGGATTGCGAAAGGTCAAGGGTTTTCTAGTCCCATCTCAAAAACAATATATTATATAACTGAACTTTTCACTCTCTATGTAGTGATAAATCGCGGGGGAAGACCAACTGATATAGTTTAGATAAATTAGATATTTTCAATGCCATTAGAGAAAAAAGATTCATGTTTATATTAATAGTACTTAAATTAAATTAATTCAGTGCAAGTTGTTAAGCACTTTAAGATGTACAATGGTTGCTTAAAAATTACACAAGGAATTACAATAAATAGGAAATACTGCTGTAGAAATTTAGTCTTAATATACCTAAGTACTAGATTTACTAGCAATAGACTATTGTCTAAAATCTGTTTTAATAGGTCCTTCAGGAGTACCTTAATAGGCCGATCAAAGATAAATTTAATGATTGAAATGTAATTTTTATAAATTGACTATAACAGGGTAAGACGGAGTTAATATGTCTTTGTGGAATTAAAAACCAAGAATTCAATTTTAAAGTTTACATATAAAAAGTCTAAATATGGATAAGTTAAGTACGTTCGCACCGGTTGTGTATTAGTGTATGATTGCTTTCTTAGTGTGAATGTGATTTGAGTTGTGTGGGGGCAGCGATGCACTCGCCCTTACCCCCGTCTCACGGGTCGCGTTTTTTTGCCGCCATGTTGAAAGAGGTGGCGAATCAAATAATGGGGAAATAATTTAATCAGCGTCACCGCGACCCGTTCTAGAACCTACCGCGACCGGTTACGGTGCATTATGGGGTAAAGGGGGCACTGCCAAGGGTGGCGAAAAAAAGTGTGTGTCGTGTGTGCAGCCGCCTTAATAGGTGGCTCCCTCCCTGCCCCGGCGTCGCGGGTCTTTGCGGTTGTAAATTGAAATGAAATTGCATAATTTGCGAACGCTCCCCCCAGCCCCGTCGGTCGAAGTTCTTTGCTTAATGAAGTCCATTTAAGGTAATGTTGTAGCAGCCGGGGACGCCGCATTCTTCAGCGCGCGGTGTTGACGATGCAATTGTTAGCAGCCAATTTAATTTGACGCTTTTAAATACTATCTTATTACTGTATTGCTGGAGTTTACAGAAACCCAAATAGGTAGCGTTAAGATGTCAATCTTTATTTTGGTCCAAACTCCAGTTTGCAATGTCAAGCACAACACTGTGACAGCATAGAGATTCATCAACGTAATAGATTCTTTATTATCCTTTG